TTTCCACATACCTCATATATATATTATGTGTGTATACTTTTCAAATCATTTTTATGCTTTTTTTGGGATATATATGGTATTTTATATAGTATATAGGTGAGAATTTAAAACTTGGATCAGTTGAAGCATAATATAGGCTAAATCCAAAGGCAAGCGCCCCAATGCCCATAATTTAGGACTTGGATCAATTTGAGTTTCTACCGAAGTTGTCTGTTTAGCGTTTTCAATTTGTAGATTAACTTCCTCGATGCACAGCAAAGAGTAGAGATCTTCAAGTGTTATGGGTTGAAGCATAGTATGAATGGAAGTCTTGAATGTGTTATGGATTGGTGGAAGCCCTTTGAGGATGTATAGAATAATGTATGTGATCTACTATGTTTTGAATATTGGAGAGATATTGTTGCATCATATTATCCTTCATAGTGATGTGATGCAACTCTTTCTTTACATTACTCTCGGAAGATTTGTAGAATATAAACTCAGAATCCTCTAGCGCTAAAAACCAAGCACCCCTGCACACAGTGTCGGGATTGCCACACAACAGGTGTCAGTACTCTAACGATCAAAGCCCTAAATTGAGGATTCTGAGTCATGAATTCCAACGAAGAATTTAGCATCGCCACACGCCAATCAGCACCCCAGAGCCACCACACTAGTGTTGTTGTGTTTCCAACCAACCTAGGGTGATTTTGGTGGTTTTTCTTTAGGTTCAATTGGGGGAGAAGATAAAAGAACGAAAATTCTTCATTGGTGGGGACTTGACCATGATATTATTTGGACTTCTAAAGTTTTAGAGAGAGAGAGAGAGAGACACATCGCTTAAAGAGGATATTCTACAAATTGTGAGATTCCACTTGCATGATTGTAAGTGAGAGTTTGTATTTAAAAGTGGGTTGAGTTGAGAGGAATTCAAATGGGGAAAACTAGATTGTAGAAGAAGATTCACTTGGAGCATGGAGAAATTCCACCTTGGTGTATTCTTACCTTATCCTTTGTGTAAACTTTATTTTTCTATCAATAAAATTATCTGTGTTTTCCATATCAATGTGCAAGAACTAATTTTTTATCTTTCTTGAATTAGTTTTATGAAATTTTTGTTTATTTCATTTAACTTATTTCAAGCATTTGAAAGATAAGTTGATATGTCAACCTTTAAAACATCATTTACTTTCTTGTTAACTAGTTAAAAGTTAAAAAAAAACTAATGAACTAAGGCTATTGTTCGTAGATTAGAAAAACAAGTAAGTTAACCACAATTTCCTAGTGAAATTAGAATATATCCATTAGGGATTACAATCATATATGGGAATAAGGAATCCTAGAGCCTTTTCAGGATTAGGGGACATAACCATAAAATGAGGCTCCAAGGCTTCTTATGTCCAGGAATAAAGTAAGCTGTATTTATCACTAATTGTCAACTACATTAGAATTTGATTTGTTGGAAAAATTACAGAAATTTCTTAAGATCTAATTCAAGGAAGACTTTCTTTCTAAGTAGGTGTAGCTTTTCAAATTTAAAAATTTTTAAGAAACATAAAAAATATTAAAACCATTTTAACTGAACTTGATATTATTAAGCTAATACTAGAACTATTTGAAATTTAACTCATTCCTCGAGGGATCGATATGTTGACTCAAAATCTATATACTACTCAATCAACATGTATACTTATGATCTAACATGTGCGTCAACATAATACAAATCAAGATTTTGACATCATTACTGAGGACAACTTTAATTTTTCAAATTGGGAGAATATTAGTTGAGAATTCAAGATTTAAATCTAAAAAGTGTATTATTACTTTTTATTGTGTATCTTTATTTGTATTTTTCATATCTTTTTGTTTTAAATTTAAGTTGTAAAAGATCTAAAAATATTGATGAACGTGTTAGTTTTTTTCTACAAGTTATTTGCTTAACTGTTTGTTGTTATTTTTCTATTTTGTACATTATTTTGACTTATTAGTTAGGTTCACTAGTTAGTTCTAGGTTGTATGCAGAGAACTAGATCCATTGAATTAGTACTATTTGGCCCTTGAATAAAAAAAAATGCGAAAAAATTTAAAAATTTTTTTAAGACTTAAAAAAGAATTTAGGAGATGACAAATAACTAAGGACATAATGACAAGCCTAGATCACTTAGGGACTTTTTCAAATCGTTCAATAGATGAGATTCATCATAGTATTCAAAACCCTACCATAAAAGCCAACACTTTTGAACTCAAGCATGTTATAGTTTTGATGGTCTAAAACAATCAATTTGGAGCTTTGCAAACTTTTGACCCAAAGTTACACTTAGCAAATTTCCTAAATTTATGTGCAACATTTAGGTATAACAGTGTCTCAAATAATGTCGTGAGACTTAGGTTAAAAGCATTTTCACTTAGAGATAAAGGTCAGTTGTAGTTTAACTCATTATCACCAAAATTGAAAACCATTTGGAATGACTGGACCCAAAAATTCATAACTAAATGCATTCAAAATTTTAAAACTTTCAAGCTTATGAATAAAACCAACTCTTTTACCCAAATGGATAGTGAGTCGATATATGAAGTCTGAGAATGATGTAATGTGTTTCTTAGGAAATGCCCAAATAAAAGTATGTTATAACAGGTTGGTGGGATCATTAAGATATATTATAGATGCAACAACTGAGGGGTCGTTAAGGTCAAAACCTTTTAAGGAGATTTATAAATTAATAAAGGAGATGACTATAAATTATTTTAAATGACATTCTTAGAGAGTCAACCCTATAAGGGTTGTCTTCATCCATGAACAATATGTGTTATTTATTTTGATTATACGTGTAGTTTTAGTATCCAAGAATTTGGATAACTTGGGCTTCAATTCTGCACCAAATTCACTAGTAATTAATGAAAATGCTTATCAGTCAATTCCCAATTAAGGTTGATTTGTCCGAACAGAATGTATTAACCCCACAATAGATTTCAATATAAACTAAATTAGAAAAATTGCAATTACCTTAAGTCAACTGCAAAAGCAACTAAAATCATAAACAAGTAACACACTAAATTAAATCAACTTAAAACTATAAGGATTTGTTGTGATCATTTGCCTAACCTCAAAATTAAATTTGGGAGGGCCAATTAAGTTTAGGCATAGTTAATTAAATGTGAAAAACTCAACAAAAATAAAGTAGATTAATTAGATCCAATTTAAAAGAGAACAATCATGAGATTAAAACATAACAAACCCAATTTGTAAGGCTACTTTATCTTTATACTTATTCATTAATTTTATTTAGAAATTTTATGCATAAACGAAATAAGTCTTATATAATTAAAAATTTAACATCTAAATTTTGATATTTATATTTATAATATTTAGTGTAATAATAAATTTATGCATGAAAAAATATATTTCTCTTAAAATCTTGGCAAAAGTAATATTTTTAATATGATACTGAACCCTTGCATTTAAATATTAATGTTTAAAATATCAAAATAAAGCATGAATGTTTACATGTTAGATATGCAAATACAACATATATATATATATATATATATATATATAATCTTAATATGTTTGATTTAAACTCACCCTGCATTAAAAACAAATAAAAACAATAAAGCATTTATCTTTAAGGGAACACATCCATTGAGCAAAGTTTAGTTTGCTGCTTTTAGAACAAAGAAGCCAAGGCAGACGGATAAAGACAGCGTTAAGTGAAGGCACGCGTGCAACGAAGCCGCGAAAGGCCGAAGTCCTCAAGCTTTCGAATTTTGCAGGCTACACTTTTCTTTCACCAGCGCCCATCACTGTCTACAAAGATGCGGCAAAAAGTCACCAGATTCAAAGCAGCTGCAGATGAATTAAAGAGCCGTTCGACCCAAACATATTACTATTCAAGCTACATAACTGATTTTTCTTTTCACAATATTGCGGCATTGCCCTTATCGGTTATAGAATTTATTAAACTCAAAAAAATTTTGTGACCTCCTGATCGATGGTCTGTTTGAGGCAGTTTGTATGTTCTAGAATAAATAACTTGTCCTGAAACGCGGCTTGCGGGTCGATAACAGGGGATCGACCCGAAGCCTGCATTGAACTTATAAGCTGCCCCAAACGGGCCCTGAGAAGCACGGGCACAGCGACCAAGTAAATTCATGTAATTTGCCTCCCATTTGATAAATGCGAATTTAAGTAATCATATTACAGGAGAAGGAACCAGCAAAAAATCAAGAGGAAACTATAGAGAATTGGATTTAGCAGAGTTAGCTTTGGGTTTTCCTTTTTCTTGTATTTGGTTGGATTTAGGTGAAAAATTCATGGCTAGAGATACAGTTAAAAGTGAGCTAGGAGTCCTGATGTATGTCGTTTTGCATCAGAACCCTAAAAAGAGTATGCCACATATATAGTTTTTTTTTATTAAGATTGGTCTCTCTGTGCATGTGAGTGACCCTGATTGGAATAGTCAGGAAGTAATATTTTTAAATTTTTTCAAAAGTTGAGTTCTTCAGATTTGCAAAAAAAAATTGCTTTTTTGGAGAAAAAACTTATCAACATTAGCTGAAACATGAACTGAAACATGAATGAGACTCCATCTTTCTCAAAGAAGCCCTTAATATTTGAAGAAGCTCTACAGGGCCACCGTAATACATGCTAGGCTAGGAAATAGAAATACTTGCCTTTATTTTCAGTTACAAGGCTAAAGAAAAAGAAAAGTAGAAGAAACTAAACAGATATAGCTAAGCGATAGCGCGGCTATTAAGAACTTTTCCGCCTCCGGTTGAACAGGTGAAAAGATTCGTTCCATCAATTACATGCGTCCAGCTTCCGGACAGCTCTCCAAAAGCTGCGATGGAGATTCCTTTTCTGGAAAACAAAACCCTGGATCAACAATAGAAGTAATGAATGCAAAAGGAAGAAGCTTTTAATGTTTTGCTTACACACCTTTAGAAGTGGCGGTGAAAGAACGCTTGCAGTGGGCAATGGCGCTCTGGATCCCGTCTTGTTGTTCGATTAGAGAGTCATCGCGGCGACGCTGCGGCGGCGGGGATGAAACGGCGGGGACTGTTGCGGACCTGCTCTTCCCCAACCGTTCATACACCACTTTCAGCTTCGCCGGCATCGCCATCTTTGAGCTCTTCTCCGTTATTTTTACCTCCGCGGGCTTCTCAGCTTCAGCTTCAGCTTCCTTTTCTTCTTGAGAGCAAAGTTCGGTAGCCGGAACTCCGCCGTGAACCAAAAGCCCTGAAAACTTGAGTTTTTCCACATACCTCTTGGAGACTCTGACATATAAAGGCTTGATCTTGCTGAGATACTTGTGCACAACCTCCTTGGAATTAGACGACTTCGTCTTCTCCTCAGCCGCCGCCGTCGCCGCAGCAATGGCGGCGTCTTCACCGTCGTCAATGTCCGTAATCTTCTCCATGGCCTTGGGATCACAGGCCTGGTTTCGTGAGCTGCTGTCTCGAGTGAAGAGGGAGACGATCGGCACCTCCTCCACCTTAAACTTAATGAAGAAGAACTTGCTCGGCAGCTGGCTCTGCTTCGACGAGAAACCCGCGGCATTGGACTCCACTGTCGTGGATTTAGACTTCCGACGCCCCAATATGAAGACGCGAAACTTCGTTGCTGATTTCAGAAATGAAACAGAGAGCTGAGTCTTGGGATCACTATCCCCTGCCGCGATGACGATGGAGCTCGATTCCAGCGGGACGAGTTCTCCCTTGAAAAACAGCTCGTCCGAGGAAGAAATGGTCGGTAACTCATTACCACCTGACGAATTCATGCTAAAGTTTGAATCTTTATCATCTTCCTCATCTTCCAAAAGCGCATTCTCGTCCTGTTCATCTTCCGCGACTCTATCCTCGGGGGCGGCAAACTCGAGGTCGAAGAAGGGTCCCTCTTCATCGGTCTGCTCGTCGTCGGTCGCCGGCTCCGGTAGCTTAATGGCGTCAGAGGGGGGGATGTTGGCGGCCGACGTCGATCCTCCGGTGCCGCCTCTCCAGTACTTGAGAAAGCTGAAAGACTCCATTGAAGAGAGAAACAGAGCAGGAGTTTAAGAGAGTTATCCCTCTCAAACTCTCCTGCTTTCCATATCTGCGGTCCTAAACTCCTCGGAAGTGGAAGAAAGCAGGGGAGAAATATAAAGAAAAGGTGTTTCTTATCGTGAGGAGGCAAGAGCAGTAAATGGACACAGAGCAGTACTAGTCAGAGGCTCAGTATTCAGCAATAAAAACAGGTCCTCACAGAGAGAGAATTTTTGAGGATTTGATTTCAGTTTGGAATCCGGTTAGCGCACAGTAGCTGGTGGGATGTCACGTGACAGGGGCAATAAGCGGCTGTTTAGTGAGAAAGCATGCGGTGTCCGCTCCTGACCGTAGGATTATTTTTATTTTTTTATTAAAAAAAAATTTAGATGGGGCCCATCGAAATACATCGGGACCGTAGATCAGGTGATCTACGGTCTGGATCAGGCACCGCACGCAAGCTACGTGCGGTATCCGATCCATATGGAATAATTTTTTCTGTTTAGTAAGTAGATTTTAAATTGGTAACGAAAAATAAAATTAATTTTTAAAAATATAAGAAATTCTTTTTTTATTTGAATTTAATCTTTAAAATTCATCTAAAATTTAAAGAAAATACTAAGATTATGATGGCATTAAAAGTCGTTGGATTTAGACAAATTGATTAAGAGGACATAAAAGTGATTGTAATAGGAGCTTATTAGGACTAGATATTGTTGGTAATGACAACAAAGAAAGAAAGGATGGATTAAGGCAAAATTTCATTAAGGATGAGGCCTCGTTGAAGAGTGTGGACTGCCAACCACCAGCGACCACCTTATCTATCAATGACGTGTATGGTGATGTGATCGATAGTAATTGGTCGTCCAGACGTGTCGTGTCCGGAGGAAATATTTTCTCCTCGTTGAGGGCACAATGGGTTTTGATATTCGAGTGGAGAAGAACAGTGAAAATGTCATGAAGGTCACGGGCAGTAAGAATGTTATCCTGAATTTCAAAATAAGATGATTCAGGTGATGTAAAAACATAAAAAAAATAAATTATCAAGTATTTTAAATTCCTAAAAGAATATCTTAAAGCTAATTTTCAATTTAATTAATATATAAATTTCTTAAATTTCTATATTTGACCAAATAGCCCCAAAATATTTATAAGCAAGAGCTATAATTTTTGTTTTGTGTTTTGCTAGTTAACTTATAATGTCAATAATGACAATTTCACCTATATAAAATGTTCTTGAAATTGTATAGAAATTATGTGTAATACATAAATTTTATATAAAAATAAATATAAAATTAATACATATGCTTAATTTTTTTTTTCATGAAGCATTTAATTAAATAAAGAACGAGCATATTTGATTTATTAAATATTTGTATATTTTTTTTCATTCATAAATTTATAATATAGCACTAAAGTGTTGTAATTATAAATATATAAAAAATTATTAGGTGTGTTACTAGAAATTTCCTTAACTATTATATTAAGTAATAGTTGAATTTGAGAGTAATTTCGAGTTTAATGTAGGGGTGTAAATGCTTGAGTCGAGCTTGAGCCACTCTCAGCTTGAGCTGGAATTTGATTAATTAATTAAGCACGAGCTTAACTCTGCAAGTTCGAACCGGCTCACGGGTCTGCCTGTTTAGAGTGAAAGAAAAAAAAAACAATACATGTAAGTTTTTTTTTTCCCTTAATTTTCACACACACACACACACCCACCACACACACCTTACATATGTAAAGCCTTGAATGAAGTACCTCTTGATTGACAGACGAAGCTCTCTACCACTAAGCCAGGGTGACTTGCATAAATATTAATTTAAGCTAGTGCTATAATAAGTTGTAAAATAAAATTATCTTCTAGGAAATAATTTGATAAAATGTAAATATAATTTTTTTAAATATTTTTAAAAATTAAAAAAATATATTGAATTTTAATATATTTTAAGTTTTTTTATTAATTAATTTATAAACAAGCTGTGTAATGAGCTAACGAGTCAGGTTTAGATCTGTTTGAGCTAGATTTGTTAACTCATCACGGTCAGTTTCAAACCACTTATCGAGTCTAGTTTGAAACTAGGGGTGTAAATGAGTAGAGTGGCCATCGACTTGAGCTTGAGCTTGATTAATCTTATCGAGCTTAAGTCTACGAGTTCGAGCCGGCTCACAAGTCTGCTTGCTTATTATAAAAGAAAGAAAAAAAATATTAAATTAAGATAGTATTATAAAAAAATGAATAATTATATAATGAATAATATTAAAGCCTAGCTTGAGCTTGGCTTGTTAGTTCATCGCTCAATTCACAAGTCACTCATCGAGCTAAACCCGAGCCGGCTCATAAGTAGACTCGACGAGCACATTCTTCCTAGCCGGCTTGGCTTCAGCCCTGGTCCACCACCTCTGAAACTATCACAAACAACGATTTGGCGGGTTAACTGGGACGTGACAGGCGAACAGGAATCACCACGCGACACGTGTTCACGTGTACCACGTGGCAGATCCATCCCATCCGAATTTTTCGATTACAATAAAATAAGATTGAATGTTCGATTCGAATTGTCCGATTTGGAATAACCTAATAACAATGATGAGACATCTCCGCATCCCCATATGAAATGATTCGGTCAGCTTATTAAGTTTAATGTATTAAATGTTCTGCAAAAATAATGCAATTATGATGAGTTGTACTTTCACTTAATTGTCTAAAATAGAGATCCGAGCTGAAGTTAACATATTTTTTGAAAAAAAAATTGCATACATAATAGTAATATGGATTAAAATGTTTCATTATTTATAAAATATTCATAATTGATGTGTGGTTGAAGATTTAGAAGAAAGAAACAACCAGTATGCTTTTATGTGGAAAGCAGAGAAAGGGGAAAAATTATGGTGTTTGACCCAAGTGAAGAGATCTGTTATAAAACTGAAGATTATAAAGACGGTCCCTTGTCTCACAGATGAGAAATTGTTACATAATCTTCCATGCTACAAAGTCGGTGCACGAATAAACTTGTCTTTGATGGGTAATGTGTAGACCGGGTTCACCACAATTTAATTAGCTTCTTACCGCTCACCTACCTACCACCTATAGCTCACCTAGCTTTCTACCTACCATCTACCGCTCTCCTAGTTTCTATAAATAACATCTTTTGGTTTAAAGGTGATGCCAAGCCAAGGTCATGCCACAAGCCAAACCAAGCAAGACCAAGTCAAGTCCTCTAAGATAGAAAGAGATGGAGAGAGAGAGAGAGATAGAGAGGAAGGGAAAGATAAAAATAGAGATTTTCTTGTAAACGTTGAGGCGTTCGACGGCGTAATTCCTCAAAGAAAAAAAATCATCTGCAACTTTGTAGACGTAGACAAATTTGCCTAACCACGTAAATCTGTGTGTCGCTCTGGTATTTTTTCTGCGTGCATTTTTTCTAGTTCCATTTCTTTGTTTTATTGTCGACGTTTTTCACAACAACTAGTATCAAAGCATTTGGTTCAGATCTAAGGAAGAACGATGGGCGGAGACGAAGTGATGGCATCGGGGATCGAGAAGTTCAATGACACAGATTTTGCTTACTGGAGGATGCATATAGATGACTACCTCTATGAGAAGAAACTTCATCATCCGTTACTGGGAAAGTGACCGAAAAAGATGGACGAGGCTGAATGGAATCTGTTGGATCGACAGGTTCTGGGGGTTATACGATTGACAGCTTCTGGGGGTTATACGATTAACCCTGTCAAGATCAGTTGCCCATAACGTCATCAAGAAGATTACTATTGCAAATCTCATGACAGCTTTATCAGGTATGTATGAAAAGCCATCGGCGAATAACAAGATGCACTTGATGAAAAAGTTATTTAACTTAAAGATGATAGAAGGTGTGTCTGTTGCTCTACACATAAATGATTTTAATACTATCACAAATCAATTGTCGTCTGTTGAAATTGATTTTCATGATGAGATACGTGTGTTGATATTGTTGGTTTCATTGTCAAATAGCTGAGAAGCCATGAGAATGACAGTTAGCAATTCTGTAGGTAAATCTAAGCTGAAATATGATGATATTCGGGCTGAGGAGGTGCGCAAGGAGGTGCGCATGAAAGATTCTGGCGAGGCCTCGTGTTCAAGTTCAGCGTTGAATGTTGGTTCTAGAGGGAGATCACATGACAGGAATTCAAACAGACGAAGATCAAAATCAAAGTCTGGATAGTAGGCAACCTGCTGGAATTGTGGCAAGGCTGGTCACATAAAAAAGGAACTGCGTTAATTCTAAGAAGAAGGAAAATGATGGTGTGTTAATGTTGTATCTGAAGAAATACAGGATGTGCTATTGCTGACAGTTCACAGTTCTGTTGATGACTGGATATTGGATTCATGGGCTTCCTTCCATACATCTTCTCGCCGGGAGTTAATTACAGGTAAATTTAGGAAGATATATTTGACTGATGTAAAAGCTCTGGACGTGGTGGGTATGGGCGACGTTGATATTGCACTCCTTAACAAGAGCAAATGGACTATGCAAAAGGTCAAACACGTTCTCCTGAGTTGAAGAAAATCCTCATCTATGTTGGGAAGCTAAATGAGGGTGTTCATTCAGTAGTGTTCTCAGGTAGCATCTGGAAGGTTACAGAAGGAGCATTAGTATTGACTCGGGGTAAGAAAATTTACACACTATATATGACTACAGGTTTACTCAGGCATGAACACATGAGTCAAAGGTGCATTATGAGGAAGCCGAAGAATGTCACTTTCTTGAAAAGTGGCAGAGCTCCAAAGACAGGAAAATCGGACCTAGTACAGACAAATGATGGAGAACCACAGACCTATGATAAAATTTTGCAAGATGGGAGTTCAAGCAAGTGGGAGCTGACCAAGAAAGAGGAGACAGATTCCATACTAGAGAATCGGACTTGGGAGCTGGCCAAACTTCTACTATGGAAGAAGGAATTGCGCAACAAGTGGGTGTACCAGGTGAAGACTGCGTGTGATGACAGTAAGAGGTACAAGACTAGACTTATTGAAAGGGCTTTCAGCAGAGGCATGATATTACTCATGCAGTGGGAGTTGTAAGCAGATACATGAGTAACCCATGAAAGAGGTTGGTGGTACAAGGCTACGTTGACAGTAATCAACTGAGGGTGTTACTGGTGAGAAGCTGAAGTTGTGCTTGACTTCAACTGGTCTTCTGG